CTTGAAGCTTCTGTAACAATATGGTATTATTCAAACATTGACCCAAACTTCAATCTCCATTTATTTTTTTTATTATTTTTTTTTAAATTTTGTCTCTTTGTCAAAACAACAAACAATAAAGATAGCACAAATGTTGCCTGCAGCGACATCAATAACACAATTGGGTTGTATAAAACAATTGACTGTCTTTACACCTATTGTTCAATTTCCATGTTTTTTTTTTCTTTTTCCCAGAAACAAAACAAAAAGGAGAAAAAAAAGAAAAGATTTTTTTAGCGTATTATTGTTTTGTTGTCTTTTTTTTAAATTCTTTTTTTAAACACCTTAAAAAAAAAAAACCCTTTCAATATATCTTTGAATATGCTATTGGTATATATTGGTATGATAAAATGTGAATTAGTCCAATACAATTATAAATAGTGTCTGGGGAATTCTATACGTTTGTGTCTGAGAGAGAGTGATTGGTTTTTCTTATTACATATGAGAATATACATATATGTGAAGGTGTGTACACGTAGATATTTGTGCAGCTAAGTATATCTAAGTATGGATGTGTTGGCCTATATTATCCACATCCTGGGTTTTTATGCGGTCATATATATATATATATATATATATATATATATATATAGTAACAACATGGTGGTTGTATGAATAAAGGAGACAATGGGAACGTTTTCTAAATGAACATGAGTAGTGCCAGCAGATGTACAGAGGGTTAGATCAATACTATCCGTGGCTGCTGATTGTGTGAGCCAATATATCATCCCTAAGTGAAGATGTATACCAGTCTATTATTATATACACAAAAAAAAAATTATATACATGAAATAGTTTTACCTGATCTTGTTAACAAACTTAATGACGTTGAACCCACAATATATTTACCTTTTGAATCTGAGACTAACAACACTTTACTTTTCCTAGATGTTGTGCTACATGGAACTAATAATAACTTTGAGTTGGAGGTTGATAGAAAATCTACCAACAAGAATTACCTTATTAATTTCTATTCTCACCACTGTAACAGAATAAAATCTGGAATAATTATAGGATTCTATTTAAGATCACTAAGAATATGTAGCCCCAATATTTACCTGAAGAAGAATATATATATATATATATATATATATATATATATATATATATATATATATATTTATATATATATATATATAAAGAGAAATTGCAAACATTTTTGGTTGTAATGTGGATTTTTTTAAAAATATATTATGCTTTAATTTCCATAATTTTGCTACATGTGTTTCCGGTATCATGACCATCATCAGGCAAAGAGTAGATATTTCCACATATTATTAAAAGGAATAAATTTTTTTTGTTTTTCAATGTTGAATATTCTCGATAATAGACATTCTCTTTTTTGTGTGTTAGTGACCCAAATGTGAATATCGAGAATATTTAACATTGAATAACATAAGAAAAATTAATTCCTTTTTAATAATATGTGCAAATATCTACTCTTTGCCTGATGAAGGTCATGAAACTGGAATTGCATATAGCAAAGTTATAGAAAATAAAACATTTTTTTTTTTTTTTCTAAAAATCCACATTACAACCAAAAATGTTTGCAGTTTCTCTCTTCTTTTTAATATACACACTTTTCTCTCGTTGGGACTACTATAACCTCTTCCCTTTTTATTTATATTATATATATATATATATATATATATATATATATTATAAAGAGAGAGAGAGAGAGAGAAAACACTTAGAAATACTTCTGATATCCTCAGACAAAATATACAACTACATAATAATGACATTAATAATGATGATGATAAACTAGATAAAACAGATATATCATATCACCTACTAACTTGTTAACATCGACTATCGAAAGCAATTGATTCAATGTTACCAATATCAAAATAATTACAGCGACATCCCAAATTATTATGGGTTGGATCAGAACCCAAAATACCCATAATAATAATTATAATTATTCTAAAGCAGATATATATAAAATAAACTCTCACAACTGTTCCTTATATATATATATATATTTATATAAAAGTGGATGCAGTTTTTGAGCGATGCATTTCTTTCATCCCCTGAGGACTTCATTGGGCTAGGTTTGTTTATGTTGATGTGACTACATATATAGAAACAAAAAGAATCTATATGAAATTGTTTAGATCACATACCCAAGACACATTAAAATAAAAATCAAATTTCTAAATTTAAAATTCCCAGCGTTTCTTGTTTGTGCACATATGTAGTTACATCAACGTAAACAAACCAAGTCTGATGAAATGCTAAGGGACGAACCACATCTAACAAAAAACTTTTTCCACTATGTCATACATCTTACCTGTTCTTGATTTATAAAAATTTATATATCATTATCCCATCTACATACACACACACACACACACATATATATATATATATTGTGTGTATTTAGGCAGCATCTTTTCATTCATACACGTTTCATTAAATAATATAGACAAGTGTTGTCTATTTATTTTATGTAAATTTTTTCCATAACGTCTGATAAATTTAATAACATTATTGTTGAACGAAGAAAGAAATTCACAATATTGATCCATATTTTTTTTTAATACAATCTAAGCTTTCAGCTTACATAAGCCATTATCAAAGATGTCAATTACAACATATTAAGCAATATACGGACAAGACAGTGATGATAGTAAAATACTTGTCGAAAACACAATTATACTTCGACATGAAAACAATAGACAAAAACTAAAATCCTTGAAGCATTATACATCAAACAATTGAAACCCAACCTAAACGAAATCAATTATGGCATCTCTACAAATATTCTTAAATGTCTGTAATTGGTAACAGAAGCCATTGGTTTATACCAACTGCTTTCCATACTTCATACTTCTCCAATTCACTCTCGTGTGGTCATGTGTGACGTCATGAGATGCGGTGCGATTTTTGCTTCTAGTGTCTTATATGCACGTGTTTATCGTTGCTTAGAAATCATCTATGTAAACAATGACAGACTATCATCACTGTCTTGTCCATATATTGCTTGATATGTTGTAATTGACATCTTTGATAATGGCTTATGTAAGCTGAAAGCTTAGATTGTATTAAAAAAAAATATGGATCAATGTTGTGAATTTCTTTCTTCGTTCAACGATATTGTTATTAAACTTATCAGACGTTACGGAAAAAATTTACATAAAATAAATAGACAACACTTGTCTATATTATTTAATTAAACGTGTATGAATATATATATATATATATATATATAGTGTCTTAATGGGTTTTTTTCTGTATGCGTTTTATTATTGTTCAATTATTACCTTAAAAAAATGTGCCCCTTTTGAAATGTACATCTGCAATTGGAAATTAATCTGTGTCCTTTAAAACAATATATTCACCTGCGGAAGAAGAAATTTGACTTAGATAATCTGTATTAATGTTAGATGATTTATATTACTTTTAAAAACTGACAGTAATGATTTTTATTGTTTCATCATTTTTTATTCCCCTCTCCCCCCACACCTGTTTAATTTCTTTTTCTATGTTAGTAATTCAATGCTAATGTTCCTCGACCATAAAAAATGAACCATGTAGAAATAATGTGCTGGCCAATGAGTCTCTGGTCGGTGCTGGCCAATGAGTCTCTGGTCGGTGCTGGCCAATGAGTCTCTGGTCGGTGCTGGCCAATGAGTCTCTGGTCGGTGCTGGCCAATGAGTCTCTGGTCGGTGCTGGCCAATGAGTCTGTCCAATTCATTCTGCCAGTCATTGTCTTTAAAAAAAAATAAATAAATAAATAAAAAAACAGCTTACGGCCACATCATGTTGAAGCGCCAATTTCCCTACATTCACTAAAGTTAAGCAACATCAAGTTAGGTCAGCTGGGTGATTGCTCAGGAATACCAGGTACTGTAAGCTTGGATGTGAAGGTGGTGCAATGGAAAATGACTCAGATTTATTAATTGGAATGCTGAGTTCCAATTCCTATTGGGCTCATTACATTTTAGTTAGTAAAATTTGTATCACTAAACCATTAAAAAAAATTGATTACAATCAAAAAATATCTTCTGGCTTTAAATAACCTGCAAAGGGTTGATAAGCCTTAGAATACAAATCAATCAATCAATGCACTACTGATTAGCTACACAGTATTTTAGATTTATTTACATTCTCTGGAATATAAATGTATAGAAACTACTGTGACCGTAAAGTGAGGGATCATTTTACGTATTGATTGTAATATAGAATTGATCCCCCACTTTATATCTACATTATAATTTCTGGCTTTAAATAAACTGCAAAGGGTTGATAAGCTGTAGAAAACAAATCAATCAATGAAGTACTGATTAGCTACACAGGCATGTCTTTTAGATCTGTTTATATTCTCTGGAATATAAATCTATAGAAACACCCGTGATCACAAAGTGAGGGGTCAGTTTATATATATTGATCATCATATAGAATTAGTCCCCCATTTTATATCCGCATAATCTCATTTATTTCTCAAATTCCAATTAGGTATAAATCCACCTTTTCTCTCCCCAACTATGGGTTAATTATTAAAGTTTGTAGCACAAAAACCATTATTATCTCCAAAAACAAAAAAATTCTTAGTCTAAAAATATTTTCTGGCTTTAAATAACCTGCAAAGGGTTAAGCCATACAAAACAGATCAGTTAATAAGTTATAAGACAAAGTTTTACTGAAAGAATTTAAATTGTTGTTCGAGGTTTGTTTTCTGCATTTTTTAAGTTTTGCCCAACTGATAGTCATTGATTACATTCCCTGGTCTTTGTCACGACTCTTTTTGAATAATCTTGTCTCCTAAGTGAAATTTCTGAAACCACCATCTTCTTGTTCCTTCAGTAGCACTTCCTTTATCAAATGTCAGATTGCTGCTGCTTCTTGCGTCAGCTGTATTGGATCCCGACTTCAACTCCTACCAAAAGAACAGTCATGTTTGCATCGTACAACACATTTTTAATGGTGTGGAAATGGTTTATCTGAAAAGTGAGGG